CGAGGCGGGGCGGGGCGGTGTTCCCCCGCTCATGACATGCTGTGTACCCGTCTTGCTCGTCCCGCGGAGTCACGACGCGCGTTTACATGTGCACCGAACGCCACGTAGGGTGCCACGTACAGCGGGTGTACCGCGTAGCGGCGCAACGCTGCGCGCGTCAGACGGCACCAGGGCAGGACGACGGCAACGTCAAAATAGTGAATACAAAAATTAAATAAAAACGAGAAGCATGAGCAGGAGGTGGCGGTGGAGGCCGCGGTGCCGGCGCTGGAGTAATGGGAACGTCCGTCCAGCCCACACTGCCCCGCCCCGCCGCACCCCGCCGGGCCCAGCAAGCGGGGCACTGCGTTGGACAGCCTGCTGCTGCGGGCCAGCAAGCAAAAAAATAAAAAAAAATCAGACGTAAAAAAAAAAATCGTAGGAAATCAACAATATGGAGGGCCGGGCATTAGGCCCGATCGCACGGCCGAGTGGGGCAAGCGGGGCGAGCCCACCGCCACGGGAAATAAAGCAAATCGGCGAACGGGACGACAAAGCCGCGCGGCTGCGAACTCGGTGGTGGGCGCGACGGCCGACCGTGGGAGAGTAGACAGAGACTAATGTGTCTTCCTCCGCTTTCTTATTGTCAAGTAAAACCTGGCATGTTAAAAACTAGTTCAAGTTAAATATGATCATTGCAGTCAAAATTTAACTTGATTCTCTATATTCTTCCTTCCCCGCCCTTTTCTGTTTCTTCGTTCTTTCTTCTCCTGTACTTCTCTCATCATTACTGCACTCTTCGCGCCTTGTTTTTCTCCGCACACTCTCCTTTTTCTCTCTCTCCTCTTCCTTCTCCGCTTACCCAGGCCAAAATTCCCATGCATGGGATCCCATGGAAGCTGCTCCCATGGGGAAATTCATCCCACGAGATTTTTGGCCGCATTTCCCATGGTGTTCTTGGTGTACTCATGGTGAAAGAATGGGTTGAGGGGTCAGTGTGTCCCATGGTGTTGAGTGCTTTACTTCCCATGGAGATATTTACTGTGGCGGACAAAGTGCAGGGCAAGCCTCATCGATGAGTTTGAGGATTGTTCTAGGGGTGTCTGAATCGAGGCGGAGCCAAATCTGCTGTCTATTTTAGCCTAGCTGCAACCGTTGTAAAGATAGCAGATAAACGTAGTCAGATTTTAACAAAATTGAAATGGCCCTAATAAAACACATCGTAGATGATACACTGTAAATTTCAGGTCGATACAGTAAGAAATAAGGATTTTATAGCGTATTTGATTCGTCATGGGAAGTGGTATTTCCCATGGAATGGGTACTCCTATGGGAAGGGGGCAGATAAGTCCCATGGGAAGATAGCATGGGACCAGTTACCCCATGAGAACCCTGTTTTACCAAGGTGCGGGGAGGACTCTCACCATGAGAAATGCTGCAGCTCACATGGGGTAAAACAAACTTTCCATGGGAAACCTTGCAATACCCATGAGACTTTGCCCATGGTGTCCATGTGATCCCAATGGGACGGTCATGGAAATTTTGGCCTGGGTACAAAAGCCATCGGTCTCTCTTTCGCGGTCCGCTTGACGCCCCCGCCCTCTTCATGTGCGGCGCGCTCAAATAGAGCCCGCCCGGCGTCCTGATGCGGCCGAGCCGGGCCGAGGCTGCAGTGCGGCCCGTCTGGCTCGGCTCGGCTCGTGAGTGCGCTCCACGGAACGGGACAAGGGCATTTGTTATTCAAATAAAAGTCCGCGTTGAGTCGAGTCGGCCGTCGCGTAAGGGATGCGTATCCACCAACCCTCGCAGCCCCCCTAGTCTTGTCCTTACCCCGCCAAAGCCAGAGCCAGCCAGCTCTCTCTCTGTCTTTCTCTTTCTCTCGCTGAATGCGCACTCACTCCCACGACAGAGACGACAGTATAAGCTTTGCAGAGACTCCTCTAAACGCCAGATCTGAAGAAAAACGGCTTGAGCGCGGCGGCGCGGCAGCGAACGAAGTGGAGATTGCTGCTGTTGGTTGGGGCTGCTGCTGCCTCTCTGCTGCCTCTGCCTCTGCTGCTGCCTCTGCTGCTGCTCCCGGGGCCACGGCCTCCGGACAACTGAATAACGAGTCGATTAGAGACCCCGTAACATGTGCAGCGCGCCGCTCTACGCTCCAAACAAAATGTAACCAAAACAAAAAAAAAAAAAACTGTTTTAAACACAACGCGAAACAGATTGGCAACCATTTTTCAACAGCGCCAACCGGCTCAGACCCCGTCGCATCACGCTGGTACCACCACACCCAGCCGTTCAACGCACTACAAAACGTTCCCTTCCGTGACATGCTGCGAGCAAACGTGAACGAACACAGTGTACTCCAGCGCGCACAAGAGCGACTCAAAGCGCGACGAGAAGAAGAGATGCAAGCAGGAGCACTTCTTCGATAGCACCATATAGGATCTGAGTGCGATAGTGCAGGAGAGTAAGAGTCCTTCAAGCGAGTAAGATACGAGGGGGGGGGGAGGAGGAGACAGGGTTGCGAGCAGGAAGAGAAACAAACAAATAAAAGGGCAGAGAGAGGCACAGGGAGAGAAAGAGCGAAAGAGCGAAAGAGCGAGAGAGAGAGAGAGAGAGAGAGAGAGAGAAAGAGAGAGAGAGAGAGATGGATGGACGTCACTGCTCTCACCGCCCTTGAACTACCATTTCCTCTAGGCAGGCGCGGCCAGCCGGAATATCGGATG